CCTGCATCTCACAAGCCTTCCTGTAGATAGGTGGTTGGTACAGTTTTTGAGGTTTTTCTCTTGCCCGCAGCTGTTGGTATGAGCCAGAAGGTAAACTTTTGGTCCTTGCTGCTGGTTAAACAGTTTCTGCGTGAAAGGGCTATCTAATGCTCGTAGAGTTCTTTTGTCACGGGTGAGACTGTCGCAGGACTTGAAGATTAATGCATTCTTGACACACCTGCGAAGCCAGGCTCCTACCTTGATGATGCAGATAAACTCTGACTATTAGGGGGTATCCTTATTGTGCCGAGATCAGTAAATTTCTGGAGATCCTTTTGCACTGTTCCTTTACTTTACTGGGAATGAGGCTTTGTATTCATCACAGATGCTTTATTATCACCGCCATCACTATTTTTCCCTATCTTGACAGGTGGCCATTGTTCTCTAAGAGACAGTGCTATCTAATTCCCCCCATGAAATACTTCCGGCAGCCTACACGATAATCTGTTAACCCATCCTAGACGTATGTCATTCACATCATTACTGAAGAACACATTAAGTTTATTAAAGCTTAAACACATAAAGTTAACATGATATTTGGCATTAAGTAGTCGCTGAAACTTTTCACTGTAGTTTCTACGACAAAGCAGAATTATGTCAGATTTATTAAAATATTATTTTTACCTTATTTGTTACAAGTTGATTTAAATGTATTCCACCGTTGTTGATATGATTAAGGAACTAAATAATTACTGTCATAATCTAAGGCTAATTTAATATGCCTTGTTTCTTCTTTAAGAAATTCATTACTACAGATCTTCAGAGCTGTCTAATAAAGCGGCAACTACAGACCGTTTATTATTTAAATGACTATGTGAGTTTAAATTCAAATATTCATCGGTTAGTAGGTTAAACATTAGTTTTATAACAATTACCAGAATTAAGAAAATATAGACTAGAGTCCTTTTTCTTCGAATGGCAAACTCAATATTTTGAAAGAACTGGCTACTGAGAAAGCCTAGCATCCCCACTGGGACAGAGAGAAAAATCTCATCAGTATATCTTATGAAAACCCTTGGAAACAGCCTGGTTTCGTGTTTTTGGTCACATTTTCGAAGTATTTCATTAAAATATTAGCGCGGATTGGGGAAAATTGGTTGCCCATGGATGCGCACTATTGAAGCAGAAAACATTCGCCTCTAACAAGCAAAAAATACCGACTTCATGAGAGAAATAGTTGAGAGATTAGCACGCTACTGAGTGAATTATCTCAGTGAAGAATTCTAGCCATTACTGTAATAGTAAGGTCAATAGGAACATTAGTTAATATGTCTCTAACGTTGTAACTGACAATAATCTTCCCTTCAAAGGGCTCAACTTGTTACAGCTAACAGCAAAATTCGTGAGAGTTTTGGTGTAAGATGGGCTTAAAGTTTCAGTTAAAGGTTCAAGTACATTAGTGGTCAACTTCGAAACCTCGGAAAAAAAACCAGTTCACAGTAAAGGCAATAGTCTTGAAGTGCGCATAAGTCGAAATCTTGTAGCGTTGACACTTGCATCCGCCAAAGCTACGTTATAACTCTCTCTCCTGCTCATGTTTTACATGGATAGAATAGTCAGTCGTAGTCAGAGCGACAAGCGAATCAACGTTGTAGATGTGGAAACGAAAAGATGACATTCGCAAACGACCTTCTTTTGTTGCTTTCCTACGAAACCGATTTTCAGTGCTCTTTAAAAAGGTGTACAACCCAGTATGGCGTAGCAGGCATGCATGCGTACGTGCCTAAAACAAACAGCCTAGTGCCTTCTCGTGTCTCTGCTTGCTGCGCTGTGCGGAGAACGAGGAAACCGACAGAACAGGCGACGAAGTTCACGTATCTCGGGGCCGTATTTACTGGTGATAGAAAATGGGAGTGAAAACTATGGTAAAAGTACGCTACTTGAACAAGATCACCAAAACATCATATTTTTTAGCACAGGTCAAAGAAAATGTCTATGTAAACTAGGTAATACATTAATTGTACAGAAAAAAGGGTGAAACATGAAACTATAGACAAAACTACGAATAAGACAACTACAGTTTATTTACAACGCAGCGGCATAAACGTCAAAAGAACTAGAGCTGTTTTCGAGTTCAGATCTTTGTAAACAGCTAACCGACGGCAGGGACCGACAAGTGAATCAGAATGGCAAACGGCATTCTGCTTGAACTATATCGCACTATCGTGATTAAGGCAGAGCTTAGTCGGTAGACTATGTTAACAAGTTGAGCTTCATCCCCATGCTCACCTATGGTCATGAATGGTGGGTCACGACAAAAAAACTGCGAACCCGCGTACCCAGATAGAGTATCTAAATTGGGTCATCCGAGACGAATCGCTAGGATCTTGACAGAATTTACAGTTCA